ATACCTAGCAGCCGGACAGTGGAGAGATTGCAACTGTGACTCATATGTAGGCAGGAAAGGTTTGCAGCAAGGGTGAGGCAATCTCCCTGCACACACTAAGGCTACGTCTAGACTATATGCCTCTGGCGACAGAGGCATGTAGATGAGGCTACCAGGGATAGGAAAATGAAGCGGCGATTTAAATAATCGCTGCTTCATTTAAATTTACATGGTTGCCGCGCTGAGCCGATCAGCTGTTTGTCGGCTCAGCGCAGTAGTCTGGACGCGCGGGTGTCGACATCAAAGGCATTTGTCGACCACCCAGGTAAACCTCATCCCAGGAGGCATACCTGGGTGGTCGACAAATCCTATCCCTGGTAGCCTCATCTACATGCCTCTGTCACCAGAGGCATGTAGTCTAGACGTAGCCTAAGTCTTATGCCCAGTATCAGGGCAAAGCATGCATTTGTTTCATAGATATTAACAAGCAGATATAATATAACGGGGGTGGGTGGGAATTGAGCTCTGAATTGTTGCTGCCAAGTCTTAAAGAAATAAATACCAATCTAAAGTGTAGAGAAGAACCAAAAGACTTGTACTAAGGAAAGATGTTGATCTTGTAACTATGAAGGGATGCTGATTAGATGCATGGGCACTTTTAACTAACAGGAGTTTCACGAGCATCCCATCTTCTGCCTGTGAATGAAAAGCAAAGATGTATTCAATAAGTAGAGAGCAATTTTCAAGCCAGATACAACTGCTTTTCAAGCCAGAGACAACTACAAATACTTAGCTAGTAAGCTAAAGGAACAAAGATGATATTGTCATAGTTTCATTAAAAAGACATTAGAAAGGGTTGAGGTGAGTAATTACATTAAAGTTTACCACATCACTGATATTCTCTGATTTCAGTTGGTGGTTTCACCAAATTCCCACTAGTAATATCTTAAGCACAACACAGCTCCTTACAGCTGAATTTATCTGTTGGCACTTCAGTTCCAGAAAAAAATTAGTCAACAGTATAGAAAGTGGTCAACACACACCCACAAAATGTGTCTGCTTATAAACCTACTATATAATGGTTAATGCTTGGAAGATATGTAAAATCATCTTAGTAAATGAAATGTTACCTTAACATATAACTTCCAAAGTCTGTTTCTGAAGAGATAGATAGATATCCCAAACATATTTAGCTTCAAAGCATCATCATGAGGTAGGAAAAAACTATTTTCTCAATTTTATAGATGGAGAATTAACTTGCCCAAGGTCACAGAGGAAGTCTGTGGTGAAACAGATACTCAAACCCAGGTTCCCCACGCCCTAGGCTTGTGCACTGACACTGGATCATCCTTCCATTTTCATAGATAGCAGTGCCACCAGAGGACACGTATATGTGCCGAAGTTTAGATTCACCTAGAACCACGATACAAGTTTTATGCTCCTGTAGAGAAGAGGCCCATGAGTCAAAGGGGCATTAGCTAGTAAACTGGATGTGTGCTTTCTTTTGACAGGGTTCAAAGAGCCCAGAGAGAGCCTTGAAGGTATTGGTACTGGAGGAGAAACACTCACATTGGCATATATTTGAAAATACCAACATATGAAAAAGGTATCTGTTTTCTTGGCAGTCTGTCTCTGGTTAGAAGTAAGATCAACAGTAAGAGCAACAGATCAGGCTGATATAGAGAATCTGAGGCAAGCAATTTATTAATTAGCTGTTAGGTCTATATGAAAAAAGCACATATGAGTACTTTCCCATGAACACATTTTTAAATGTGTAACATTAGACCTTTTATTTTCTTGTAATAGTGCCATCCTGTTTTGCAACAAATTAACATTGTATATGGACGGATGCAAAATGGAAGATTCTCCTCAGGAGAAATTGGTCTCAAGTCTTAAACCTATGAGAAGCGAACTTGACATTATAGGTAATAGTACTTTCTTTGAGTCACATTGGGGCCTGCAGTATATGCTCAGGCAGAAGAGGAAAGGTCCCTTTGGCTCCCTGTTTGTCCCTTATGCAAGCTGTTTTCATCATTGGTCACAACACAGGGAGCAGAGTGGGAGCAAACAGAACCTTCTAGGTGCCCACTACTCCCCATCCTGTGCATGTGTCCAGGGGATACTTGACTCTCTTCTACCTCTGCCACCCACAATGTGTCAGCCAGTGAAGAGGGGGTGTGAGCCTGTACAGAAGAGGGGGTAAGCAATGCCAAACACAAGGCTGGCAGCTCAATTCCCTCCCTGGAGCATGGGAGGTCAGCTATGATGCACAAGGTGGTAATGAATTTGTAGTTCTCCAACTCAGTCTGGTCTCTGATTTGCTCCTGGGACAGTGCAACTACATGCAGCTCTGGACACAGTGCTTGTGACAACTTCAAAATCTAGCCTTATTTAATATCATTCTTAATAATTAATACAGTTTTGTTTGGTATAAATGGTACTTTATACTCTCCTGAACTTACATTTTATACTCTGCACAGAGCCAAAAGAGAGCTAAGATTTTTTTCATTACAAAGTTGCTAAAATTCTTGCCATTTGTATTCTAAAATATTTTTAAACCATATTTTAAGTGTCTCTGACTGCTTATTTACAAATATAGACAGTTGCGTGCTTTGTGTGTGTTGGTTTTGTGGTGATCATTTTAGACTTTGACATGTCTGACATTGTATCGTAATCAACACATACATTATGGTCAGTTTATCTTTATAGTGCCAGAAAGGGAGGAAATGGATTATGACAACACATTTTCATAGTTTCCTCTTGTGATGTTGTTTTTCTTAATTTTGTTTTTTAATAGTATCTTTGATACTCTACACAATTCTCTAAATTGGTCCTTAGCTTCCTGAAGCTATAAGAGTGCAGAAAACATAGATATGCACTTTAAACTGAAAAAATATGGATGCTTTAGCTCTGTATACACATCATGGAGGTTAGGTCCATAAAAGGCTATTAGCCAGGGGATAAAATGGTATCCTTGGCCTTTGTTTGTCAGAGGCTGGAGAGGGATGACAGGAGACAAATCGCTTGATCATTGTCTTCGGTCCACCCTCTCTGGGGTACCTGGTGCTGGCCACTGTCGGCAGACAGGATACTGAGCTAGTTGGCCTTTGGACTGACCCAGTACGGCCGTTCTTATGTTCTTAACATAATTCATAATCTGCATGTATTTACAGACAAAAAGCTTTGGAAATTATTCATTTCTGTCTGCAATTTAGGGCACATATATTGATCATTAAGGGGACTTATCCAGAGCCTGCTGAAGTCAATGGGACTCTTTCCATTTACTTTTGTGGGTTTTTGGATAAGGCCCTAAATGTCATATCTTAGGTTATAGAAACCTGAAAGGTAAACTCTCCTGCCATGTCCCATCGTGAAAGTGTAGATCAGGTGATTAGCTTTTCCACTTAAGTTCTAGACCTGAACATGGAGGATATGACTCTTTTAACAGAGATCCCTCATGTCTGGAATTCATGTTCCCTTATGGTCTGTTACAGCTGACTGTTGATTTGTAGGACACAATGTAAATCCCATTTGTTTATTTAGGTTTTGCGTGTGGTGAGAGAGAGTTGTGAGGAATCATCCCTGAACTAGAACTTGATTAACCATATGCAATGATGAGTCATTCCTGTGTTCGGCTTCAACAGGAGCTGGTCTGGTGACACTTAGAGGAGATATAAAGTCTCACATGGGAAACAGAAGATGAGTCTGCTCAATGCTGTTTCATGGCATGGAACTTTTTCCTGACTGATACCGGTGACAGACTCTGGGGGCCTCGGTCTAGCTCCAAGCCTACTATTGACTTGTTCCAACCCTGCTCTGAACTTCTGATTATGGCACTGAGCTTTGATTCTGACCACTAGGCCTAACCACCCTGGTCTCAACTTCTTTAATATGCTATGTATTTTTCTTTCTCCCCCGCAAGAGTGGGGTTGAGAGTTTTGGTTCAAATGACATTGATCGACAGATTTTCTAATGGTTTTCTCATATTTCCTGCCATTGCACTCAGGGAAAGTTATTTATTACTAAGATAGTTTTTAATAAATAAAGCTGTAATGTATCGAGGGACTTATCTGAATGGAACTAACTTTTGAATTTTTTAATTCTTTGTCATCACTAATAATTATTGGTCTTACAAATGATGCGAAAGAAAAAACATGCATAAATCCCTACTTCATGTGTATCTTCCTGGTCTGATATGATCAGTGAAGCAGTGTGGTGCAATAGCAGAGTATAGGATTGGGCTGCAGGAAACCTGCATACTATTCCCATCTTAGCCACTGACTGGATTTGCGATTTTTGGCCAAGTGTCTTCCCCCTCTCTATTCTCCTCCCACTTTATGTGTGAGTGTGTGTATGTTGTTATAGTCTCTCTACTATGGGCGTCTCTGACTTTTACTGGGAGGAACCTTTGTGCTGCAAACTAGCCCAAGAGACTACAACTCCCATGAGCCTTTGGAGAAAAAGGAGGAAAACAGTGGCTCTTCGAGGCAGGGAGAGAGAGAGTTAGGGGAGGCACTATTTTGGGGAAAGGACCTCGATTACTGGTGCGGAGGTATATAAAATCATGAGTGGTGTGGAGAAAGTGAATAAGGAAAAGTTATTTACTTATTCCCATAATATAAGAACTAGAGGCCACCAAATGAAACTAATAGGCAGCAGGTTTAAAACAAATAAAAGGAAGTTCTTCTTCATACAGCGCATTGTCAATCTGTGGAACTCCTTGCCTGAGGAGGTTGTAAAGGCTAGGACTGTAACATGGTTTAAAGGAGAACTAGATAAATTCATGGAGGTTAAGTCCATAGATGGCTATTAGCCAGTATGGGTAAGGAATGGTGTCCCTAGCCTCTGTTTGTGAAAGGCAGGAGATGGATGGCAGGAGAGAGATCGTTTGATTCACTGTTCAATTCACTCCCTCTGGGACACCTGGCATTGACTACTGTCGGCAGACAGGGTATTGGGCTGGATGGACCTTTGGTCTGACCCAGTATGGGCCATTCTTATGTTCTTTTTTCAGGTCAGAAGCTGCTGAGAGCCTGCTAGGGCTTGGATTTAGCAGGCTGCTTCAGTGGCTGTTGGTGATTGTCCCTGGAGGGGAGAGACCCTGGCTGTGCCTGTGGCTGAGAAGGGCCTGCATAACCCTGCTTAGAAGGTATTGTGAATACTTGTGGCTGTTTGGGGACGTGCTGCCCAGGACAGAGCACAGAAAACCAGCCGACTCTGGGTCTAAAAGAGGCAGAGTGATTAGCCCACTGAACCAGAGCTGCTGGCATTTGTGGGAGCCTGCTCCAGTGGCAGAGGAATTTTGCAGCTGGCTGCTTAGCTTGTACTGACACACACAGAACCTGCACAGTGCTGTCTCCACTCCAGCTGCTGACGTTTAAATGTGCCCACACAAGCATCTGGGACTCTGAGATCCAGAGGAGTGTGCACTCTGGGGTGTGACAAATGGTGGCAGAGTAAATGCCAGTTAGAAAAGCTTCCTTTATTTTTGTGTAGTTTAATTGATTTTATTCACTTTTAATCTGTTAAGCCCTGTTTCTTTAAATTGTTAAGTAAAGGTGTGTTAATTCTAATTCGATCAATTAGATGTATATTATTTATAATTGTTGGTTTTGAGTTAGATCCCAATTATTACTGGAATAATTTTATTCCTGGAGGCTTGCAAGGCACACCATTAAGTGTGTACAGGGCCAGACAGGTGGAGGTGTAACCCACACACCTACTGCGGTTCACTGTCCTATGCAGTGGCACCTAGACCACAGCAACAGATAAGAACAAGAGACCTCTACAGGGTGGGCCAAGAGCCAGCTGGCTTTTAGCTCAAAGGGTAGAGGCTCCTATACTAAGCTCCAGAGGTCCCAGGTTCAAATCTGCCCAGTGTGGTTATAGAGGCACTACCATTGTATATTCCTTTAGGAACAAAGGACCTCAACAAGGGGATGGATACAGAATCCCCAACTATACAGCATCACCACTGAGGTACTCAGGATCTCCTTTTATGTTAAAAACAACAGGCGCTCAGGCACAGAGGTGAGTGTGATCTGCTCCCAAGTAACCCATGGAGGAAAGAGGGGGTTACATTGTCTATATAGTCTGTCTGTTATTCCGGACAACTTCTGTCTCTTACTGTTAGGGTGTATTGACAATTGTGTTAAAAATTTTAGACTGTCACTTTAAATTTCAGAGTGGTTTCCTTGTTCTGACTTCAGACTAGGAGGTTCTATACAGAACTGTGAAATTTGGGCGTAGCACAGCCATCATTTAGATCACCAGCTTACAGTAAGGTGTTTCAGGGCTATCTGTTTCCTCTCTGTTTCTGGGAGCAGCCTGCCTTCTCTTGGTCTGTTTTTATTTTTGTGTTGTTAAATTGAAAACTTTTAAGAAAGAAACTTGCGTTTTTTTTGCAACCTCCTGTATAGAATATTCTTTTATATTAACTTCTGTGTAAATCATGAACATCAACTCTATTTTGCACAATGAGCAGTACAATGTAATCCTGATCTTGGATGAGATTTCAAGATCCACACACAATAAAAACGATCTTTCGTTTTAACACAGAAATGTAACAAAAACCAAAAAAGACATTCTAGACACTGTCCTGGAGAAGAGAGACTGCTAAGGGTTGCCTTTCTGGTAGGCTGTGGCTGAAGCCCATGATGGAGGTGCTAATACTCAATGTCTGAGTCATATATTTGTTCATCATCAAATGTAAATTGTTACTAAATC